CACCCCACACCCCCCACCCCACACCCCCCCCCACCCCACCCCCCCACACCCCCCACACACACACCACCCCCACACACCCCCCACCCCACCCCCCCCCACCCCACCCCACCCCCACCCCACACCCCCACACACACACCCCCACCCCACCCCACACCCCACACACCCCCCCCCACCCCCCCCACCACCCCACCACCCCCCACCCCCCACCACACCCACACCCCCCACCCACACACACCCCACCCCCCCCCACCCCCCACCCCCCCCACCCCACACACCCCCCCACCCCACACCCCACACCCCACCCCACCCCCACCCCCCCCACACACCCCCCCCCCACCCCCCACACCCCACCCCACACCACACCCCCCCCACCCCCCCCCACCCCACCCCCCCACACACACCCCACCCCACCCCACACCCCACACCCCCCCACACCCCACCACACCCCACCCCACCCCCCCCACACCCACACCACACCCCACCCCACACCCCACCCCACCCCCCACCCCACACACACCCCACCCCACCCCACCCCACACCCCCCCCCACCCCACCCCACCCCACACCCCCCACACACACCCCACACCCCACACACCCCACCCCACACCCCACACCCCACCCCACCCCACCCCCCCCACCCCCACCCCACCCCACCCCACCCCACCCCACACCCCACCCCACCCCACCCCACCCCACACCCCACCCCACCCCCCACCCCCCCCCCACCCCACCCCCCCCACACCCCACCCCACACACACCCCACCCCACCCCACCCCACCCCACCCACACCCCCCCCCCACACCCCACACCACCCCCCACCCCCCCACCCCACACCCCCCCCCCCACCCCCACACACACACCCCACACCCCCCACACCCCCCCCCACCCCACCCCCCCCACCCCCCCACCCCACCCCCACACCACCCCCCCCCCACCCCACCACAACCCCACAAACCCCACACCCACACCCCCCCCCACCCACACCCCCACACACACACCCCCCACCCCCCCCACCCCCCCCCACCCACAAACACAAACCCCCACCCCACCCCCCCCACCCACCACCCCCCACCACACCCCCCCCACCCCCCACCCCCCCCCACCACCCCCACCCCCCACCCCCCCCCACCCCCCACCCCCCCCACCCCCCACACCCCCCACACCCCCCCAAAACCCCCCCCACCCCCCCCCACCCCCCCACACAACCAACACCCACAACCCACCAACAACAAAAACACACAAACAAAACACAAAAAACACAACACAAACCCCACACCCACAACAAACCACACAAAACCCCACCCCACCAACAACACCCACCACCCCCACACCCACAAAACAAAAACAAAACCCCAAACAAAACACAACACACAAACACACACCCAAAAACACACCCAACACAAAAACAAACACCCCACAAACACACCCCCAAACAAAACACACCCAACAAAAACACACAAACCCAAAAAACCCCCCACCCACACCCCAAACACCCCACCCAAACCACAACAAACCCCCCACACAACCACAAACACAACAAAACACCCCAAAAACACACAAAAACAAAAAAACAACAAACACCACCCACACAAACACCCAAAACCCAAAAACAAAACACCCCACACAACCCACACCCCCACAAACCCAAAACAAACACCCCAAACACCCAAACAAAACCACACCCAAACACAACACCCCCACCCCCACAACCCCACCCACACAACACCCCCCACCACAAACCCACCCCCAACCACACAAAAACCCAAAAACAACAACACACCCACACAAAAACCAAAACAAAAACAAAACAAAACAAAAAACACAACACACAAACAAACAAAACACAAAACCCCAAACAAAACACCAAAAAAACACCCAAAAACAAAACACAAACCAACAAAAAAACCAAAAACACAACCACACAACCCAAAAACAAAAAACAAAAAACACAACCACAACAAAACACACCACAACACCCACAACCAAAAAACACAACAAAAAAAAACAAACCAAAACAAAAAACACAAAAAACAAAAACCAACAAACAAAAAACAAACCAAACACAAAAAACAAAAAAAACAAAAAACAAAAACCACCAAACAAAAAAAAACAACAAAAAAACAACAACCCACAACAAAACACAAACAAAAACCAAAACCAACAAAACAAAACAAAAACAAAACACAAACAACAAAAAAACAAAACAAAAACACAAAAAACAAAAAAAACACAAACAACACAAAAAAACAACCAAAAACAAAAAAAAACCACCCACCACCCCACACCCCCACACCACACCACACCCCCCCCACCCCCCCCACCCCCCACCCCCACCACACACCCACACCCCCCCCCCACACACACACCCCCCCACCCCCCCCACCCCACACACCACCCCCCCCCCACACACCCCACCCCACACCCCCCCACCCCCCCAACACCACACCCCCCACCCCCCCCCACACCCCCCCCACCCCACCCCCCCCACCCCCCCCCACCCCCCCCACCACCCCACCCCACCCCACCCCCCCCACCCCCCCCCCACCCCCCCCCACCCCCCCCCCACCCCCCACCCCCCCCCCACACCCACACCCCCCCCACACCCCCCCCCCACCCCCCCCCACCCCCCCACCCCCCCCACCCCCCCCCCACCACCCCCCCCCCCCACCCCCCACCACCACACCACCCCCCCCCCACACCCCCCCCCCACCCCCCCCCCACACCCCACCCCACACCCCACCCCCCCACCCCCCCCCCACCCCCCCCCACCCCCCCCCACACCACCCACACCCCCCCCCACCCCACCCCCCCACCCCCCCCCCACACACCCCCCCACCCCACCCCCCCACCCACACCCCCCCACCCCCCCCCACCCCACCCCACCCCACACCACCCCACCCCACCCCACCCCCCCCCACACCCCCCACCCCACCCCACACACACCCCACCCCCCCCACCCCCCCCACCCCACCCCCCACCCCCC